GGGGATGCACAGCACCTCTGTGTGCCCCAATACGACTCAGCAGGGCAGTCACCTTGGGCATCTCTGCAGGCAGCTGGGCTGGGCAGGCTCCAAAAGAGGCAATGCTGTGCAGAAGCTGGATGTTGCTGCTCTGACTGGGCCCCTGGCAAAGCCTTTCTCTCTCCGTTTGCCTACACAGGAAGTCTGGGGCTGAATGCAAAAGACCTACATTTTGTGGGGTAAAATAAACTTCTGCTATTACTCTAATTCGTCTCCCACCTGACTTCAGTGGGCCCGTATAGACAAAAAGATGCCCACTAGAAAACCAGTGCTGCAATTTGGGCAATCTGTATAAATACTGTGCTACATCTGGCAAATAGCATGGTTGCAAGTGCAAAGTTAGCTGACAATCTGATATAATTAATTCAGTTGCATTTGCCTTATAGGCTCTCTGTATGCTGTTGTAAATTATTTTTCAGATTGTGCTTCATAAAGTAGAATATTTGAAATACCTTGCTGCAGAGTCAGTTCTGTGAAGAATAAGAAGAATTGATCTAGAAGACAAATGAGCACATCTGAAATGTGCATTGAAAGAGGACTAAAGCAAATCTGAAATATAAGTAGCCTGGCCCTTAAAAGCTACAAAGGATGTGCAATCAGTCTAACATTCAAATAAGTTGGGGAGAAAACCAATAACCAAACAGAAGTTCCTGTACATACCTGCAGCTCCAAATAAAACAGGGAGTTGAAGTTCAGCCTCTCCCATCAAACAATTAAAAGGAAATTAACTGAAAAGCCCATAAACTGCAGGGAGAGCTGCAGAGTTTCCACTGCTGCCCATGAACAAATGCCATGGGCTCCAAGATTGAGGCTGAAGAAGGGGCAGTGCCAGTGGCCCAGGGATTTCTCAAGTGGTTGGTCTGGATCAGAAATGTCCCCCTCACAGAGGAGGGAACTGATTCTTTTTTAGAAGAATTCAACATCTTTTTTGTTTCCCTGGAACTGGTATAAAGTAATCACTTTTAAGATCAAGAAAAAAGGAAAAATGCTTTCTTTCACATCTTGTTGTTAGAAAGCCTGCTGAAATCTGATAATCTTACCCCACATTAAGTCCCATGTTTGCTCATGTAGCTTTTCTTTCAGTCACATTTGGCTTGAGGAAGGACTCAAAGCAGGACCCTTGCCTTTCACCATTTATCTTAAACCTGGAAAAGAATGTGCAGGATCTACCAAACACCTGTCAAAGGACAGCTCATTATCTGGCCTTACAGACAGAGAAATTAAAGCAACATAACTAGATCAGACAAAGTAGGGTACATTGGGCCCACCTGAAACATTTGGAATAGAACGATTTATTTTCATACAAGAATAGTACATCCCATTGCAAGCGCATTCATACTAAGTGATACAGATAAAATCACATCTCTATTGACACCGTAATAATAATGAAATAAAGCCCATGTGAAAACTAATCCTAAAAAGATGATACTACATGCCAAAGGGGTACAATATTTCTCAATTACTCCCTATAACTTGGTAAGAGATAAGAATAACTCCAAGTCACCAAACCTGTAAAATTCATGTTGTCGATTTTCATGACTTTCTCACGAATGTTGTGAGCTGCTCTTTACCTCCATGAGTATGTGGGCATCTTAGTTAACAGGAAAAGTATTTCTAGGCATCAAGGTAGGAGAAAAAAAGAAGAAGAAAACAAAAAGCTTTAATATGCAAGCTGAAAGTACTCCAAACACCTACAAACAAGAACAGGATTTGTACCAATAAGACCATTGAAGCCAATCTTGTGATTTTTTGATGGTTTGTGCTTGATCCTGTTTGGAAATCCATCAAAGCCATTGTTACAATTGACAGTCCCTTGTGAAAACAAGTGGAATTCATTGCTTAAACCCATCTGAGGTGTTGTGGAGTGTATGAGACATCTGCAGGGGCTGGCAGACTCGAGTTAAGATATCTATCCAGATCTGTGCTCCTCCAGAGCAGTGGCTTTAGGCCAAGTCGGTACCCTGCAATGTCTGAAATGATACTAGACAGCTTCCGATAAGAAGCAGAATCCCACCCCAACAGCTTTCTGAGTGAGAAAAACTTGCTTGCTCACAGTCCCGAGCAGTGCTGTTAGCTACCAACTTCAGCATCTCCGAGTACGCTCCACTGCCATTCAGTGCGGCGACTGTCAGCATAAAAAATAAAGGAATTAAAAGGACTTCCCCCTTCTATACCCCCAGGAAAAGGAGAGGCGTTCAAGGAAAATGTAAACACAGTGCTCAGTCACCCTTGCCACCACCACAGGCCAGCGCCTGGTTGGTCCTGTGACCCTCAAAGGAGTGACCTACCAGGCAGGCACCACCCTGAGTGGTTTTGTGACTTGGACAATTGGAATAAGGAGGGCACTCGCCAGAATTTGTTTTCCTTACAAGTAGTATCCAAATTCAGCTCCTTGCAGAGGAGAGGGACAGGGCATCCTTCGTGCAGTGGCTTTCCTAGATCATAAAGCCACGTGTACTTACATTGCATAAGCGGTTCACACCAATTTCTCCCTTTAAAATTTCTGAGTGTTTTTTTCTTTTTTTCTTTTTCCTCCCGTAGCAGAAGGTATTTTCATAAAACAACATGTAATTTATTTTCTGCTGTTTCTGTGGGTTCTGTAATTACTGAACTAGGCGAATAAGAATTTAGAAGGCATTTCTGTAATTTATTCATTCACAGATAATTTGACTATGTAGCCTGTACCTATCACAATTTGCTCAAATCCACTCCGTTCCAGAAATAGTAACTGCTTTGATGCAGCAGCTGAGATGGTATTCCCCCCCCTTCCCTTCCCCGCCCCGCACAAGAGCAATAAAAATCATCGTGATCCATCTGAAAAGCCCTCAGAACTGTCAATTATATGACATTAAAAAGGGAGGTTACTCGAAAAAGGGCTTGGCTAGAGAAATGATTGCAGGCATAAAGAGCATGGTATGCATGTGATCAGATGCCAAGGAAGGTTTTCAGCAATTCAAGGCATATTTTTGGGTCCCACACATTCATGCAATAAATGCCTCTAGCAGAAGACTCAATACGGACTACGTTCACGCTGTCAAACAACCATGCTCACAAGTCCCTTTTCCTTCATCATCCACAATACAGAAAATGTCGTGTTGTTCCTGGGCTCTCTTCTGGAGCGAAACAGCTCTTTCTGAGACAAACCCCAGCTGCTGCTTTGGTAACTTGCTCAACAGACACTCCCAAAATGCAGCATGGACAAGGCTGAACCAGTTTTGGCTTCCTCCACTGTATACAAACATGCAGAACTATCCCAGCAGGCTCTGACCCCTCAAATGTCACATACCCTTTTGTTTCATGCTATTAATTCCAGTGGGCCAAGAAAAGAAAAAAAAAAAAAAAAAAAAAAAGAAGAAGAAGAAGAAAAGAAAAAGAAAAAAAAAAAGGCTTAGATTGCTTTAGACCTTTGAACTGAAAAACAAACAAAACCATACTGAAAATAATAATTATGCCTTGTGGCCATGGCAGCACCGTGTGAGGCCGGAGGAGATGCACAGCCAAACGCAGTGAGCGTGGACCTGGCCAGGCTGCTCTGGAGAAGGCTGATGTTAAGCAGCGTGATGCCCCTGGGGCAAGGGGACCGCTCTCTGCAGGGGAGGCAGCGTTTGGCACCAAAGTGGTGGCCCTGGTCTGTGCGTGTGGGCATGCCGGGCTGCTGAGACACAACCCGCGGCCAGCTGCCTTGTGGAGAATACCAAAGGGCTCTAAAGTCTCTCGGTTCATTCTGGAGGCCCTAAAAATTTTCTGAAGGAGGGACACTGCACGCAGAGAAGTACAAACCCACTGGTTTGGTGGGGCGCCCCAAAGCTTGTGCCTCCCACAAGAGCTTCTCCAGTGCTTTGCAAGTGCCCAAGTTGCCAAGAAACAGAGCAATTTTTAGACAAGAAAATCAGCACGTCCTGACCCTCCCTGGCTGCTGACAGCTGTCCAGAAAGTCACTGCAGGTTGAGGTTTAGCACAAGGCAGTGTAAACAGACAGGGTTTCCGCTCTTCAACCTTTAGGAGGTGAATTTGAATTGTTTGCTGCTGCTGCTCCACAATGCCCTCTAACTCTCCAATCCTCTAGCTCTGCCAGGCAGCACCGTGTCTGTTCTCCATCCCACATGCTTGCTCTCAGCAGGCTTCTGGCTCAGTACCTTTGTGATACATCCAAATTGACTGGTTGACCTGGTGGTTTTCCACATCACTTGCGACCTTGGACTCCTTTCAAGCCAGCCCCGTGCTGATGCAATGTATGCAACCTTGTGACACAAATCCTTCGTGATTCGGCATGCTTCTAAGGGAGCGGGAACCGCTATTTCTTTTCTTTCAAGCATTTGAAAAATGGATCAGAGGAGATCGTGTCAAGAAACCATGGAGCTGCAAACCAGCGGGTTTTATCCCTCCTCTGCCTCTAAGCTTGCTGTGTGATCTCCTGGGCACGTAACTCCTCTGCAGTGCTGCTCTCCCGGGAGGAACAAGTACCTAACAGGGATGACCTGTCAGTATGAAACCCTCCGAGATGTGGGCACGACAAGAGGACGGGGCATAATGCGCTCACAGTTCTCCCTGGTGGTTACCCATCTGTGAGCCACCCTGGCAGGCCTGTGTAGGCAGAAAGGGCACGAAATGACTGTCTGGGGCTAAAATCCATGCCCAAACCTCTGCTCTGAGCAGGGTGCATGCAGTGGGCATGGATGTTGGTACTGCGGTCGGTGGTACCCACTGGTCAGTGGGTACGCGGCCTGCAGCAGGAGAAGAGCACAGGCTCCCTCACCAAATGTCTGTGTGTGTCACGAACCAGGGAATTGTACTTAACAGGTAGTTTCTTGAACATTCAATTAAGTAAAAAAAAAGAAAATTAAAAAAATAATAATAAATTACAAGCTTTTAAAAGACTACCTCCACTTTCTTTTGGCCATTTTTGTTGCCCCATCTTGTCAAGAGTCACATCCCACGAAAGGAAAGGCCCGACTCGTCTCTCACTTTAAAATGCTTCTTTTTATTTCAGTGGTTGTACATTGGGTGAATGAATTTAACGTCACAACAGAAATAGAATGGCTATTTAACAGACCACTAGTAGTTATATGCTGGAAAAGAGCAAATGGAGGGGTTTCTCGAACGGTTACCGAAGTATTCATTGTAAGCGTTGTCAATTATACTGTATGAGAGAGGCAAACAAAAAGGTATTTTGGTGAGGTGCTGTATCGTTTGAAGAAAATAAACACTGAGGCATCTCAAGTAACTTGAAACTACGCCTCAGCTACAGTATTCACTGTCTCTGTGTTGGCCCATCTCATGGTTCTTTTGGGGGGGGTTTATTTGTGTGTTTTTTGTGTGTTTTTTTATTTTTTTTTTTAATTAAACAAAGCATTTAAAATTTAACCATTTTCATTAGACTTTTTTTAAAATATAAACAAAGTTTTGGCAAATAATATTTATACAGAAAAATAGTTTTAGATCTTCCCAAATTTTGAAATAGTCTATAAAATTACTTTATAAATAAATAAAATGCAGAATCTGTTGTACACGTATTTGCACATCTCTGTAATTGCCTCCTTACTGTTAGCATAGGTTTGTACTTGTACAGTTTTTAGGAATATTACAAAGTCATAAAGTCGGAAAGTGGATCTCTTATTAAAAATACATTTTCTCTTTTTGTCTGTCAGTTTATCTGGATGAAAGACCTGATGTATCTGAAGCTTCGTCATCCATGGGCAAAAAATAGTAGTATTGGATTAATTGTAAAAAACATAGAATAACAGTTATTTTGAAACATAAAAAGTTCACACAAAACAATGTTTTGAAGAGTTATCTACATAAAATATTTAAACAACATGGATAATTTACCATTTAGTATTGTACAATAAGCTACCCAAATGCCTAAATTAACTATTATAAAAAAATAAAAACAACTTTGACAGATATAGGCAAGTTGCAGTGTCAACTACCTAGTTATAATGACTGAGAAAGTCTACAAATATTAGTGTTTTAATAGTATATAATGGTGATACCTTAACTGCTAAATAACAAGTTAAGATACATTATTTTTCCACAAATTAAAACTAACGCAACGTTACAAGCACTATGTTAATTTTACAATCGAATTGTGATTATTTTTTTCTGTCGGATGATCAAATCTCCAGCTTTATATATAAATAGATAGTAATTAGACATTGGACAAACAAGATTTAGCCTGGAAAATAATTTCCAAGACAAATAATTATATGGTTAGTGCCTTCAGTCGTTCAGAACAGGCAGTGCTGCCAAAGTTTAAAATAGTTTACAATCAATCTGAAGAGGTTAAGTTAAAATACTGCAATCACTAATAATGTCCACATAGAAAACTTATGCTGCAAACAATTATACATAATATCCACTTATAACAGCTGTCTTGTTTTTTAAACAATAATTTAAAAACTATGTAATTTCTGTGATACATGTGCAACATATAAAATGTGAAATATGAAATATTTGGTACAATAGTGCTTGAAACAAATCTCAAATCAAACAAATGAAATTTTAATTATACATATATAATTACCTTGTAAATCAACAAAGTATTTAAAAAAGTAAACAACATTAAAATCTGCTTCATCCATATATATGTATGTATGTATATATAATATGTATATAATTGTATTAAAGATATCTTCATACTTTTGTGACATAAAATATGTTTTTAAAGAAAAACAATTAAAAGAACTATTTTTCTCCATTCTAATCTGGTTACAATCTTATAATCCAATTAAAAAAAATGCAAATACAGTAATGATTTATTAAACTGAATCTCATTCTACATTCTTAGTGTTCAGTTAATAACCTAGATTAAAGTCACTTATGAAGTCTCAGTGACTAAACTGAATTTTAATTAAATTAGAGTATCATACAAATCTCTTCACCTACATCCTTCTTCTTCTCCTTTTCCTTTGTTAGTTTGGTCTTTTCGTTTGATTTTTTTACATTTATAGAAGTTACTTCTTAAGAGCTTGGATCTTTTTGGTAATGTGACTATGAGTTTGAGAGATTATTCGCTTCCGGTAAGATTGACTGTTGGCATCAGGCTCACTTTCATCAAGTCTGATGTGACAAAATTTAGGCACTTCTGCAAAGTTTCTTTTAAAAACATTATAAATATACTCGTAAAATAATATTTTCAAGACTTTGTTCTTTTGGGGATTGAAAGGGGTATGAAGTTCATACTGTGCAAAATTTTTAACTTTTTTTTTTTTTTTTCTGCTATTCTGCTATGACTCAAATGCAACTTCTCCATACAAGTCAAACACCAACTATGTGCATCTAAAGAATTTGTGCTTTACTTTGGATTTCTGGCTAAAAATTTTAGACTGGCAGGGTGATGTGCAGGATACCGGGCTTTGTTTCACTTCCTTTGTCTTGGAGTTAACTTGCTGCGGGAGCAAAACCAAGATTTTTTAACCAAGAAGAAAAACCCCAATCGTAATTTGGGTTAAAATTAAACCTGCAACTGGCATAAGTTTTTAGCCAATACAAATTAATTATTGCTGAGCTTGAAAGATTCATGACCGCTGAATCTCCCAAGACTAACTTAATTGGACCATTTCCATTAGGTATAGTTATGGAGAAAAGACAATATTTGCAAGAATTAAACTATGTTTTTAAAAATCTTCAAAACTAAATGTTACCCTTTATGTCTTGAAACATCACAGCTGGTATCAGGTAGTTAACTATTTTAGGTCGGAGTATAGTAAGCATACCATATTTAATATTCATATATGACATAGCAGCACTAGCTTCTTAGAGTTTGTGATTTGTCCGTAAGAACAAATTCTTTACTTAGCATGCAGTTTGTGGCAATTCTAGAGAGGAGGAGACAGGATAGTATGTACAGTAGCCGTGCTTGGCCATCCGCAGGGAGGCTTCTTGACACTCCGTCCCATTCCTGCTGATTACTTCAGGATTATCTGTGGAGAGAAAGGAAAGTGTGATGGGGCTTCCAAGTGGCACTTCAAAGAGCGGGTCACCGGCACGGGTGGCACCGGTCTGACTAAATCCACCTTGTACGAGACGGCCTCCCGTATCCTTACCGCTAGGCGGGAGGCCTGTGCGTGTCACAAACCTCTTCATCACGTCCTCCAGTGTGTGAGGACACATGAAGGGGACGTTTTAGGTATCAAAATGTCAGAGGGGGGCCACGCCAGCCGGAGGGCACCCTGCGAGGTGCCCCTGCCTCCCCGGCTCGGTGCCTCGTGAGGAGGCTGGGGAGGGCATCGGGGCCTGCTGCCCTTTGGCAGCCCCCATCCCCAGGCAGGAACAGCAAGGGGCAGAGGTGGAGGCAGGGCCACTCACCGCTATCAAGCCAAAAAAAATATATAAAATAATATAAATATTTATGTGTGTACTGGGCTGGATGTTTTCTATGAGCTAAAGTGCCTTTTTAATGTGTTTTTAGCGACTGCTAATTTCCTAACAAGTTATCTTCGGGTCAGTGAGCCGAGAGCTTCTTCATGCTTCCTCACAGCAGGAGGTCCAGGGGGATGGTCGTCATGGCACCTCTGCGCGCCCGGCTGGTCACTAACCTCCCTGATTTGCCTCCACTGTGCCTGAAACTAAGGGTGAGGCAACCATTTTGCAGCTGCAAGCTCTCTTGCTTCCAGTGCTGCGGTGGCTGAATGCAGGATGTGCCCAGCACTCTTCCAAAATGTGAAGGCAGCTGACTCAGCCAGCTGGCTGTTTTGGGAAGTGACCTGGATTTCCATCACCTGCCATATAAATGGCTATCAGTGGAAGGGATGTCAGAGACAAGGGGTGTGATGTTTTACCGTGCCGTTGCTAATCTGTACTCCAGGCCTAAGCGCAAGTCAAGGAATTGGAGTGCATCGCTTGCTCTTCCTGTTTAATTTGGCACTTGACACATTTCTGAGCTGTATTTGTAGGTAGTACGCAAGGCAGGCATGACAGCACTTTGACCTACTTGTGTATTATGCAGACAGACCGCTGCTCAATGCAATATTTATTTTAAAAGGAAAAGAAAAAAATAAAAAGGAGATGTTTTGAAAATAACTTCAGCAACATACTACCTCTGACATACAGAAAAGAAACACGCTCAGCGCTGCCTGGAAGGCACTTGCTGTAGGCACCCCCGAGACCACCTCAAAAGCGCCTCACAAACCCTGCACCAGCAACGAGGGCTTCACTTGAGGTACAGCACCTAAAGCCGTAGCCCCCTCCATCACTACGTGCTCTCTGTACTCAGCTCCCTGACCCCATATGACTTGCTGGCATGCCTAAAAGTAATCTTTGATTGCCACTGATAATGTGGTGACACTCGAAGCCCCATTGTAATGATCCTGTACGAACACCTGCCGGCTCCAAGGGGCGGAACATCTAAATACACCATTCATACAACAAGGACATATATTTTTAATGACTTCCACTCATTGTGGGTTTGTTGGCTTATCGTCTATCTTCTGTTTCCTTTTGTAATAACAAAGAAATACCTTTGCTGAAATAATAAAGCCCTGCCTGTGATAATCCTGGTCCATCTACAACACTGCGATTTGGCAGGGAGTACAAAGAACAGAGCCGTGCTGGAAATAAGAGGTGACCAACATTATCAGCACTGGTATTTTTAGCATGTTACAGCCTAACATGTCAATGTAATTAATAAAGCAGCTTTATCTATACTGGGTTAGCCATAATCACACAAATGTGTTTAAGGGATCCTAATGTCAGTTTTAATGGAACATAACCTGAAATCTACTCAGTTAAAAAAAAAAAAGGGTTTCAGATAATGCAGCTGCCTACCTCTCCTGACAATTTTTGAGGGGATAGGACTTGCATTTTTCTATAACTTTTTTCTCCTTGTTTCAGAAATACTCAGAGAAAGGATAGAGAGAGATCATTGCGGTTTGTAGCGAGATGTCCTGAAAGGTCAAACAAGCCTGATGCTCCCAGCTCCTCCAAAATATGGGACAGAAGAGGCAGGGGGCTATAACGTGGGAGAAGGGCTGGGCTGTCCCTGACACTGACCTGGGTGCAATTCACAGGGGGCTCTCAGCAGCATGAAAGAGCAGGGACCCCTTCCCTGCACCACTCAGGCGAGCAGCAGAGACCAGGTGAGGGCTTCCACCATCGCCTCCCTACTCCTGCCATTTCTCCCCGTCTCTCAACACTCAGGAAACAGCAAAGATGAGGCGGGCACTTTCCTTTTGTGGCCTGCTTATGTGGTGGTGGGTGCAGGAGGAGCAGACGGCAGCTGGAGCCCTCCCCACCGCGCTCCTCTGCAGCCCGTTCCCACCACATCTTCCTCGCAGCCCCGCCACGCATGCAGGGGATGTAACTAGGGCATGTTGCACCTTGGCTATTTCTAGTGCACGTAGGAGTCCTCCTAGGAAAAAACCTCAAGTCTCTCCTTCAGAAGAAGCTTCTCCAGCCCAGGGAGGCAGAACAGAGGAGCTACATTTCTTTTTTAACCTCAGCCACAAAGTGTAAAATGCATCCCATAGTCTTTAATTATATCTTCACACCCTATTTCTCCAAAGATATCACAACTCCACCACAGCTACATACACGTGTAGCAGCTTCTGCAACTGTTTTTTTATTCTTCCTTTTTTTTTTTTTTTTTTTTTTTTTCACTGTGTCTGATGGAGAAACATAAAATACTAAGCTACTTTACATGGAAAATACACTGTGAACCTCTCCCGTTTAATCTACAAACGAAGTAATAAACTGTGATGGAACATGTAAGCTATCTAAGTCTGCATCACTGCTAATTGCTCCATGCTAATTGCACGCTGAAAAAGAAGGAATTGCACAGACCACACCAACCAAAGGACATCCCTGCAAACACTTATTACAGTCTCTGCTCCCTCATTACTTGCAAAGAGGTCCAGCAGCCTTCATGCTCTCTGTTTGAAGGATTACGTCTCATGTGCACATCCACATGACTCATTACATTGGCTGTGATACTATTATTTTCATTAAACTTCACAGCAATGTGATATAGCGCGTCTGGCCATAGTAAGTGTAAACAACAACAAAAACCCTGAAAAATAAGGCTACACAATGAGCGTGTTTGTGTGTGTGCATGCCACGCTCCATGCACAAAGGTCGACAAGCCAAGCATGGGAAAGCAAATTCTCATGGATAAGACATATCAATGTCTGCAGGATTGGGTACAGACATGCCAGAAAACAGACTTTGTGTGACCGCAGTAACAGAGCTAATAGGAACACTATTTCTAGCAGAAGCAGAATGGCCCGGCACTTACAATCTGGAATAGTAATGCACAGAAGATTTAATAATAGCAAAGGGCATTTTTTTTCTGAGGCAATTGCAGACATAGAGTACTCTCTCCATTGCCTTCTCACTTGGTACCTGCTTGAAGTGCCAGAAAGATTGCCTCTCTGTAGAATAAAATCACTAACACAGCACCACTGTTAGCTACTAGACATCACTGAAATGAGTATATACATAGAGTGAAGCTAAATTTCTGCTTTCTGACTGCCGGGAAGGGTTTGCTTTTCCAAATTTGCCAGCTGTAAAAAGCACCTTTTTCACCTCCAAAATGTCAAGACTTTCTTTCTCTCTTTTCTATCTGAGCACAGCTCTTTTAAATGTTGACAGCCCTTCGGGAGCTCTGAATGGCCACAGCGCTCATTGAGCCCACTGCGCAATACAGAGCATCCACAAATTCAGCCAGGATAACCCTGGTGATTCCCAGGGGTGACACATTCCTGCCATGTGGTCCAGGGGAATGGCTCCATGTCAGCCGGCAGTTCCCTCAGGACCCCGCAAAGAAGGCTGTGATGGGTTATTGTTTCAAGATTTACAGGGTAAAACTGAGAATTTGTTTTAAATTAAGGCGGCAATTCCACCTTTGTGAACTCTTTTCTGACCCCTAGTTTATTTTGTGCACTGGCTCACTTGGCATGGCTCACATAATCACCTGAATTCCCTAGAATTACCACTGGGTACTACTGATTTCATGCATACAACTCATGAAACTCCTTGACATGTTGACTTGTTTCCAGCTCTGGATTTCTCATAAAATGACGAATACAGAAAATTTACCTTTCTGTGCGATTTCAGAGCACAAGAATCTTGTTCAATTTAGAGACCTGTCACGGTGGATCAGCTGGAAAACAAGACTTTGCATCTGTCTCCAAGATTTCTAAGAAGTTTTGAAGCAATTTCTCCAAGTTACGCTTTGCTCTGTAAGCATTAATACTTTCTATGGTGGGATTTAAGATCATACTTGACCTCCTCATTGCAAAGTGTTTATCCTTCTAAAAATGAACTCGCAATGTAGTAACATTTTTAGACTACTCCGCCTTTCGTTTTTAGAGCGATGCAGCATGAGGAGTTCTTTGTAGACAAGACTCATCTCAGATGATTTCAGACACGGCAAGCCTCAGCTGGTCACCCTGTTTTACATCTTGCTAGCCTACCTCAGGCAACTTATCTTAGCATGAGACAAATTATAAACTCATGATGCTTCTTGTCCTCCACCCAATGTTAAGAGTCTGTGGCAAGCAGTTCACGCTGAGGTATTTAACTCGTAGACACCTGCGTCAGGGCAGAGGACTCCCACCACAGTGACATTTTCTATTTTCATGTTTTTCACACCAGTAGCAGAATGGTCAGATATAAGTAGGGTATACATTAAAAACGACAGATATTTTCAGACAGCCTGCTCATATCAGGCTGTCTTATAAGTTCTCTCACTTTCTAAAAATAAAACTAACACCTAGTATTTCTTCCCTTTGACATGAAACCCAAGACTATTTATATTTCTCCGTGCCTTTGGGAGGTGCCGCCATCTCTTTATTTTTCATTTTCTCTTAGGATGCTCTTTTGTGGTATGCACCTTGTTCTTTGTCTTCCAAACGAATGTCTCTTTTTTTTCCTCAATCAAAAGTGGAAATGGAGGAGTTTCAGCCTGAATGGCTGAAAAGATACA